ATGGCGGGGGACGCGCCGCTTGCGATGACAGCCTGCGCCTCTCTTTCTCTGGACCCCAGTGCGCGCGTGGATCGGAGGGATCCGCCGCCGCGAGGACGGCTTCTGACCCAACGTGCCGGCGCGGCTCTGCGGCCCTAAGAGCAAGAGCTCGGCCTTCTCCCTGTACGCGCCTATGCTTAGGCGCGGGGCGGCGGCGGACCCGCCCGACGAGGACGAGCTCAAGCCCGCTGCACAAGGCCTGCGGCCACGCGCGCCCGGGCCTGGCGCTCCTGCTGCTGCGGGCACGGGGCCGACGCGGCCGCGCTCGACTACGGAAGGCGCCTCGCCCCTGGGCCCGCGTGCTGCAGGCGGCCGCCTGCGCGCCCCAGGCCGCGCCCCAGCGCACGGTGCAGGCGCTACTCAACCACGGCTCCCCCACCCTGTGGCCCGACGCCTTCCCCAAGGTAAGAGGTGGCCGGGCACCTCCCACCCCAAGCTTTGCATGCAGCGCTTCTCACTCTTCCAGGGACTCGGAAGAATGAGGGGTCAAGGACTCAAGTCTCAGTAGAGCAGAGATGAGAAGGGCACCAACAGGGGACTTGGGAAGCAGCAGATTCTGACCCAGTGGGTTTGGGTGGGAGCGTCTCCTCTTCTAACAGTTGCCAGGTAAGGCCCAGGCTGCTGGTCTTGGGACCATACTTTGAAGAGCCAGGGCCCAGAAGCTTCCAGCCACTAGAAAAGAAAGAGGTTGGGGTGTGAACAAGCATGCCTGCGTGTGTCCTTTCAAAGTAGTCACCTGGGGACGCCACACACTTATTTCCATGACGCTGTCATGCCTTAAGTTATTTTGGCAGCTCATCTTTTGTTGTCATTTTCAGAACAATGAAAATCGATTTCTTAAGGCATCTGGCATTTGATCTGAAATGAAATCCCCAACCTTGTTAATGAGATTAATTACACGTTTGCAAATTCCCTCATTTCCGTCCTTACCCGTTCCTGTGAAATACCAGGCAGGTGTTTCTCCTTCCTGGGTTTCAGCCAGGAGAGGGGACTTTTCCAGAGTCAGGACTGTGGAGACCTCAACCCCACTTTGCAGGCTTGCCTCTGAGCGGTTTGTCACCTTCCCCATGGGTCAGATCTCGCTTGAAATAATAAAGAGGAAGAATAATGAGTTCTCACCAGAGAAAATACTCAAAAGACGGGAAATATTTCCAAAAGAAAAGTTCCCAAAATATTGGTTGGAGTAAGAGATCGTCTTTCCCAAAAGACTCACCGAGGGAAAGTCATTCCATTGGATGTAAAAGTGGGTGTGCCTAATTTTAAAATGATCCCTCTTCCCCACGCTCACCAATCAGAGGCAAGAGACATGCCTGACAAGTTTTGAATGGGTGAAAGGCTGTCATCCAAAAAGAGCAGTGTTCTAGATGGTCTGAAATAGCGTGATTCACACATTTCTCTCAAATGCTAACTTTGCATTATAGGTGCATGCAGAGTAAAGTTTGTGTCTGTAAAAACACAGGTGAAAAGTGGGAAGCGCACCCAAACAGCTCCCTGAGCGTTTCCTTGACAAACATTATGACAGTGTCTTGTACTAACTCTCACATTGTCTTTGAGCCATTCTCATGTGGTTCTCACGTGGTTCTCACGTGGCACTCTACTAATACAGTGGCTCCAGGAGGGTGGGCTCTGGAAAGGGAGGGAATGCCAGCAGCTTTATATTCTATAACACTTACCTGTTATATTCCTAATTTGCATTTTAACATGTCCCAATATTAGCAGGCTTAGTGCATCAACCCATAACATGGAAACAAGACCCACTCACTGCCCCTCCGGGTCACACGGTGTTTGCCTTAAACCAAGATGCACACGTCAACCATTATCATATGAAATTGCATAGAGAATGCAAAAGAAACAGGCTTTATGCAATGGGCCACCAGTGAAAAATATCTGAGGCAAATTATTTTTGTTGTTAATCCTTGCCTAAGAATATTTTTCCATTGATTTTTAGGGAGAGTAGAAGAGAGAAACATCGATGGGTTGCCTTCTGCATGAGCCCCCAGCAGGGCCCGGGCCAGGGAGGAGCCTGCAACCAAGGTATGTGCCCTTGACGGGAATCAAACTTGGGACCCTTTGATCCACAGGCTGACACTTTATCCACTGAGCCAAACTGGCTAGGGCTGAGGCAAATTATTTTAAAGAAAAAATATCAAAAAAAAGAAAAAAAACAAAAAGAAAAAATATCAGTGTATTTCAGCAGTGACTACAAATAATCCTTTGTTGGTCTTGAAGTCACTCTATTTGAGTGATTCTTTACCCAGGTTTCCAAGTCTCAGGTGCAGCCCCAGGGGCACCTTCCCTGAAGATAAGACCTCTAACACCTGAACTCTGTCTCCAGGGCTGTGGGAATTACCCCACCTTGACCTTGACATGCAGGGCAAGGCACAGTGGCTCTCCCTCTGGGTCTCCAGGGGCCCTATCCTGGGTCAGCCACACAGGAGCAGAGCATGGTCAGTGGAGGTGTAAGTTGTGTTTAGGTTTGGGGGGCCCTATAATGGGGGTCAAAAGGCCATGAGAAGTATTCAGCTCCTAGAAGTGACACTGACTCTCCCAGCAATTGTAGAAGGAATTAAGAGTTTCCTTGAGAAATCAGAATACTTTGAGGCTTTCACCAAAAAGCATTGCCCACCATTGCTTTCCTTGCACATGCACAGAGCTGACCCCTGCACACCTCAATGTTGAGTGAATGAAGGAGATTCCAACAACTCCAGGGCACACCACTTGCTGTTAAGTCCTTGGAAATGGACATGGGGATCTGAGTTCTTTGTGCTGAGGTCGACCTCACCTCTAGGGGGCACCCATGGCACTCCTGGTTGGGAGCAGGGTGCGGCCCAAATGCATTTACCATACTTGGCGTTCTCTGAGCCAAGTTACAAGTGCCTGTGATGTTCTAGCCTGGGCCCAGGACAACCAGGGCACACACTGGAAACCTGGCTGCAGCATCTTCCTCCACCCAGGCCACCTGCATGTTCCACCAGGAAGGAGTCTAATCACCACATGAGACATCAAAGGGACAGACCAGCTCTGCTCCGCAGCCCCGTGGAGCACGCAGCAAACACACTGAACAAGGCCACAAAGATACACTGCAGGCGAGACTCCACACTGTGGCGAGGGGTGCACAGAGCACGCGGTCCGTGGGCAGCAGCTGGGCTTGAAATAGATGTAAAGAGACACCCACGGAGCTCGGAATTACTGAGGCAAAAGGTTTCACAGCGAGCTTATGACATAAATCACATTCCCTCAGGCCCAGACAAAGGCACCATGGCCGCAGCAGGCGGACTCCAAGCATCCGCCGCGCCGAGGACAGTGCTCTGCGGTGAAAATCAAAGTGGTGTCACTGCTTGGGAAGCAAGCGTGTTGACAATGCCAGGCCTTTCTGCCTGGCTGACCTCTAGTTAACACCAGTCAGGGATGGGGGCACAAGGGCAGGTGGCAGGCGGTGGCCAGGTTTGAATTCTGGAAGTTGTCAGCACAGGTGGGGCTGGCCTGGGGGAGAGCGGACAAGAGGGCAGAGAAACACACACACACACACACACACACACACACACACACACGAATGTGAGTCCAAACTTGCTTTGCCACTGCACTAGCTGAGCTTGTGGGTTGGATGCTTGGTCTGGAATAAAGGGCTTTGCTCTTGGTTCTCTCTCCTGCCTCTCACCCGGAGGCCAGATTCATGAAACAATAGCGAAGCTCCATGTTATCTTTTCACAACGAAGTACTCCTTTCCTCATCCCAAGTGTTTGAAGAGCAGATTTGGGGCTGGACCCCAGAACAGAAACAGCGGTTGTGGGAGGGTAAGTCAGCCCCGCTCTGGGATGGGACAGGACCTCCCCAAGTCCCAGAGCTGGGAGGTAGCTGCACCAGGACAGAAGCCCATGGCCTGGGACCGCTCTTTCCTGCCTCTTCCATGGGTCATTTGTCCCTCGATATATAAAGGGACCCCCTCCTCAGAGCACTTCTCATTTGCAATCAGCTCTCATGCTTAACGCACTCTGCTTCCTCACCCCTGTTCCTTATTTTGTGCTGTTTTGTGCCTTGTTACCTACGGGGCAGAGGCCAGCAGCACCCAGCGGAAATGCACGCGCGGAGGCCGTAAATATTCACACTCATACTTGCCCACGAGTGGGGGAGGTGCAGGGACAACACCAGCAGTGCACTGTCTCCCCCAAACCACATAGGCCATGCTTCCCACGGGCATCCCTGAAGCATGTATTTAGGCATTCAACACACATTCCTAAGGCATTGCTAAGCCCAGTGCTGGAGTTAGTGTGTTGAACCAGCCCTCATGGCACTGTCCCTCAGGAGGGTAAGACAACCGCATACACACACACACACACACACACACACACACACACACACCCACCCATGTGATGTTGCTGTGGTGAGAACAGGTACAGAGCAAAGACTCTCCACACCTTGAAAGTGCCAACTAGGGGGCTTGACCTAGCTTGGGGGCTGGGGGGAGGCTCCACAGGCTCCCCACGCATGTGCTGAGTGAGCCCAGACCTGAAGGCTGAAGCCTTTCTATGTGAGGAGGGGAGGAAAGGCCATTCCAAGCAGAAACGAGCAGTCCAGGCAAATGTCCTGGGGCAGAGTCTCTGGGGAGGAAAGGGCAGGAGGGAGCCAGTTGAGGCGGGTGCTAGGCAGGGCCCTTGTTAAGGGTTTGAGCCTTTGTCTGGAGAACAATGGGAATCAAGGACATGCTAAGCAAGGAGGTGACATAATCAAATGAGCTCTCTGCTCAGGTGCAGAGAACACGCTGGGTAGGGGCTGGTGAAAGCCACAGACTGGTGGCCATCCAGGTGAGGACTGCAGAGAGAGGGGCAATGGAGGTTGCGGACGAGAATGACAGATTCTAGAAACATCTGCAAAGCTCTGGTCTTGCCTCACCTCCTGGGCATTGCCCGCGTTGAAAATCCAGGTGTAAAGTTTTTGTGTTTTCTTTTTACACGATTACAGAATTCGGTAAGGTGGCTTCACCCTGCTCCCATGACACAGGCTTTTAGGGGGCAAATCCTGGGGGAGCAGTAGTCAAAACCCAGGACTCCATTTCCTGTCTCCACAGGGCCGCCTGCACCCTGTCCCCGGGGGGCGGGGGGGGAGGGAGGAGCAAGCATAAATGGCGTGCCTCTGTTTTTCTTGCTCATTTTATTTCCCGTCTACATCTAGAGCAGTGTGCCTGTGTGATTTTTCCCCTTAATTTTCTTTCTGCCGCCTCATTAGCCGGAGAGGGTGCGCGTGGACCCTAACGACATCAGCGTGTCAGAGTAATGTGGCAGCCGCCCCTCCCGCAGGCGCGTGGAGGTTTTAAACTGTGTTGGCGTAAAAATAATGAAGGCAGCCAGCTGCCTGGCAAACACGAGGGCACAGCGCGGAGGGCGTGGGGAGGGCCCCGAGCCCCAGA